TATTATGTAAGGAATGTTTAATCATGCATGTCTAGGGACAATAAGTTCTTTTAAAAGGGAAATAATTATTGTATCTCAATTTATTCGAAAATAAAACTTAACCATTGCCATTCATAACCTTGTGCCTGGATTCCCTGGGGCCTCCAAACTGAACCAGAAAGGAAAATGACTCTGTTGACATGAGGGCATTTGAAGCCATTGACGGCCTTGTAGTTTATGGTTTCAAGGTGTAGCTTAGCACGGTTGCCTCTGAAATGGAAGCCAGCGTCTGACACAGTTGCTAAATGAGGAATCTAAGACTCAATGGGCTGGCTCTCCTAGGCCTGTGTTGTTTCTGCACACAAGAATGCCTCCACCCTCCCTGAACACCTTCTACTTTGCTGGGCTTGTGCTTCGAGCTTGGGCTTCATCCTCCCATTCACCAATGTGAAAATGTTGACTGGAAATTATGAGTCAAAAGGTCATCAAAGTGTCTGCCTGCATGCAGCTTGTGTTCTAGGTACAGAAAACAGCCAGGGCAAAGTGATAGTTTAGACATATAGTATGGTTAGGCAAATAAAGATACATGCCTGCCATACATACAACACGCATGCTGCAGTGAGAACAAGACAAGCACAATTTGGGGGAGCATATAGACTGCTGTGTTCCCCCCTACCCGAGACTCTGTGGGTTTGTACATAGTCCGCGGACAGGATTGAAGAAGGACTCTGAGCAGAGGCAGATTTGAACTCCTATCTGCCTGTCTTAGTCTGCATTGGAGCTCTGCACCCAGTGCAACATTTTGCTGTTGAGGTGGTTGGGATTGTGCAGCCAAGCCTTACCATCCCCTAATAGGCTGGGATTGTGCAGCCAAGCCTTACCATCCCCTAATAGGCTGGGATTGTGCAGCCAAGCCTTACCATCCCCTAATAGGCTGTGATTGTGCAGCCAAGCCTTACCATCACCTAATAGGCTGGGATTGTGCAACCAAGCTTACCATCCCCTAATAGGTGGGATTGTGCAGCCAAGCCTTACCATCCCCTAATAGCCTGGGATTGTGCAGGCAAGCCTTACCATTCCCTAGCACAGTGCTTCTCAACCCCTGCTGAAAATTGAAAACACCTGAAAATACTGCAAAAAGTCTGAATCTGCTGGCCAGCTACAGGCTCACAAAAACCAGTTCTTTCACAATAATGCTTTGCCTTAAACACCTTTCAAGATTCTGCAAGGGTTCTGACCCATGGGGAGAGCAGAGAAGAAATTGTCTAATTTCCTCTTGCCAGAAGAACGGCCCCACCCATCTGTAAAGGCAATGAACCACAACAATGACAAGCTTGTCCAGACATTTTCAACGCTGCAACAGTGGCATTTGTATCTTGGGGGCAACCAACAGCTGTGGGACTTAAGCCTTGCTCAGTAGAAGGGAAGTCACATCTAGCACTGTAAACATCAGGTAGCCAACCTCCTGGTGGGCTCATGGATCCTCTTTCCTAAACCAGCATAATTTCTCCATTCTCGATACTCATCCCTATTCCCACAGGGAAGAGAAGCTCTCACCACCACAGAAGTGCCTTTCCGTAGCAGATGGAGGCCATCACAAAAATCCCCAAGTTACCAAAATTCAGAGAGCAACTGACCGTGAGTGCCAAACCCCAGCTGGTAAGTCTATACTGCCATCGCTACACCTGAGGCTCGGGGAGCACTGTGGTGGGTAGGTAGTGCCATCTCTACACCTGAGGCTCAGGGGGGAGGGCCTTGCTCCTGCCTCAACATGATGTGACAGACTTTGTTGACCTCCCCCATGGGGGGCCTCATTCTCTATGAGGAGTGGATGGGTGCTGGGGTGGGGAGGAAGTGGGGAAAGTGGGAGGAGGGGAGGAAGGGTGAGCTTGGATATGTACGTAAAATTAAAAAAGGATTGTTCAAAAAAAGAAAAGAAAAAAAAGAAATGAAGATAGGGGTTAAGTGGTGTTTAATTTCGAAAAAGTCAATATGAGGAAGTTTGCTAATTAGTATGAAGGGCATTAGATTGTTTTTTCCCTTGTTTTGGAGTTGTTGCTGGCTCTAAAGATCAGAAATAGAATCGCTACATGAGCATCACTATTTTTACATAGGGAGGCAGAAGAATGGATCAAACCAAACTCTAATGCCCAGAGTGGAGCTCCCAGTGATGAAGGCTCCCTCAAGGCCAACTCTCTAATGCCCAGAGTGGAGCTCTCAGGGATGAAGGCTCCCTTTGTCCTCTGGGGGTCTATGTCCTCATCCAAACTGAGTAGCGTCAGGGCTGGTCCTGGCAGAAGCCCACCGTCACATCTGTTTTGATTTTGCATTCTACATAAGATCTAGGAGAGAAAGCTCCCGGTCTACATAGGGGGCATAATCTGGATAGTAAGTGAATCATGCTAGTTTGAAGGAATTTTCTGTGAGCTGTGTTTTCACTCTGAAACTTCACCTGGAGATAGCAGGTAGGGAAAGATAACCTTGGGCTGCCCACAGTTCTCACTATCAGAAATGACCAGCTAGAGATAGAACAACAGAAGCCATCCATAAATCTCAATTCTAACCCTACCCCACCTCCCGCTTCAGAACTCCATTGCTAGATAATGCCCTCTGTCTATGGGCTCATCCTCCACCAAACGGGTGGGTGAACAGCTACATACTCAATCCCATAGGGCACAGCTTCCCGGAAACTCTCTAGTCTCCTTGAACCGTGACTCTTGGCTTCATCTGTCTGCCCACAGGCCCATCCCTACTGGCACAGGCCATTGAACTATTTCTCTCAGTCTTTGAGGACCCAGGAGTCTGTATCCTGAGCTCTGAGTTAACATTCCTGGCTCTAACTCTAGCCAAAGGCTTCCTTATCCCAGCTGGACCCAGCACTTCTGTCTATTGTCCAGAGCCGTGAGAATGCGAGGAATTAGAGTATGAATTTCTCCGGTGCACAGTCAACACATAATTCGTGGCTCAGCTTCTCACAGTTTATCCTCTCGGCCAGTTTTAAATTCTCGTGCTGGAAATCCTGTGTCTATCTGATGCCTGGCTCCTAGGGTTGATAGAGCATTGTACGAGTTGGATGTTAAGAGCTGTGTGTTGAAGACTTGGTTTCCTGCCCATGATGCTATTGGGGTAGCGTAACTTTTTGAAAGTGGGGTCAGGTTAAGGAAGTTAGGTTTGCTGGAGGTGTGCCCTGGAAGGGGATATTAAGACCTGAGTGACTGTTCCTTCATCCTCCTCCTCCTCCTCTCCCTTCCCTTGCTCTGTCTTTGTCTCCCTTTCTCTGCCTCGCTCCGATTTGGCTACCCTGAAACAAACAGAGCTCTTTGCCATGTTCTCCAACCACTACCAGATCAAAGCACCAGGGCCCTGGGACCGTGGACCGAGACCATGAGGCACAACAAACTTTTCTTTGCATGTGGCTTATCTCAGATACTTTGTCACGGGGACAGGAAGCCTGGTGACACTCCCACAGTGGTCTGGGCAAGCTCCGAATGCAGTCCCTTTGAAAATGAAAGAAAGTCAATAAAGTCGGTTATGAAATCATAACCCAGCAAAGAAGACGCATGAGCAGAAGTACAGGGAGGCAGAAATTGGTGTGAGGTGATCAGCATACACTGGAAGCCACCAAAGTCACAATGATGAGGAGCAGGTTCTCCCATGAACCTTTGCAAGGAGTATACACCAGCCCTCTCACTGGCAGACTTGTGGCCTTTAACACTCTTGAGTAAATAAACCGGTGTTATCTCAAATAGTTTGTTTGCTGTAATTTGTTACCTTAGCCAAGAGGAACTAATGCATACACCTAGCACCCTGTACATGGAGACCATCCTTTCAAATAGGTAACTTCTCTTTTTTTTTCAAGACAGGGGTTCTCTGTAGCTTTGGAGCCTGTCCTGGAACTCACTCTATAGACCAGGCTGGCCTTGAACTCACAGAGCCAGTGTGCCTATCTTCCTGAGAAGTAGTGACAATACTCAGCAATAGTGTCCACATCATAGAAGCTAAGCATTCTAAGGGTGCATGAAAGGGTGTTTGGGAAAGGGAAGACTACATGGGACACACAGAGAAACTAATGAAGGTTCTAGAACACAACTTCAGTTTTCAAGTTTCTGTGCTTATCACTGTAATTGTAGCGATGACGGAAATAGGAAATATGGCGTGGCACAGTTAGGACTTCTAGATTAAGTTGAGGCTGATCGAGGCTGATCGATGTAAATGAGGTGGTTACATTTTTTTTTCCTTCCTTAATCCACATCCCTTGAGCGAGATACATAATCCTGTTCGAAATCTTGGACCTTATACAACTCTGAACTTTCCAGTCTCTGCTCAGTTGCTATAATTTGTTACCCTAAGGAAATATACATCCTCACCATGGTGGGGGGTGGGGAAGCGTGCAAGAGACAATGGTTAAGGGTGTTGGCTTTCGGGTATACACAGCCAAATTGCATGTTTCTGGAGCCTATACCAGGAGAGCTGTTTGGATGCTTCTAGGCCTTCCAGAGCCTCTGGGGGAAGAGGTCAGACACTGGGAAACGCTACTGTGAAGCCCTGGGAAACACTTCCACCTCTGCTTTGCCCAGTTTCCCAGGGACACCCAAACTCTAGACCACCTCAACCCACTCAGGAGATTGTTTGCACCTGCACTTTTAGATACTGCAGGTTTCTCTTCTCACTCTGGCCCGGCTGGCACAGTCACCACTAGCCTGCTGTGGCCGTTTAAATGTCCATTAACTGAAATTAAACACAATTTCATACTCTGTTCTACAGTCAAAGACCTGCTAGCCACAGGTGATTTCAGGATACCAGACTGGATGGTGGAGACAGAAATGTCACATAATGTCAGGGCAACTGCATTCTGGGTGTATACAGTGTGACTTAAAAGTTCAACTGTGAGGTCAGAGATCACTCATTCTCACTGCCTTCAGGCAATGAACTCTGCGGGCATCTCTGAAAACGCATGCATTTAAAACTACTGTTCTGGGCTTCGTAAATGCCCTACACATCTTTAGAAAGGACACCGTCGCCACATGTAGCCTCCCGTGGAGGGTGTTGTTTATTGTAAGACGTCATTTTTTTTTTTTATTAAATACACTGTAGTACAAGAGACATTCCATGTCAGGTTGAGAGAAGCTGGTCACATGATTTACAAACATTTTTTTTTAAACACTGTATTCAGGTGTCACTTTGAAATCAGCCAAGATGCAGTGAGTCTCAGAAAAGCACTGGACCTCAAAACAGATTGCAAAAACAAGTGAGAGCCGGTAAAAGTCGGCACAGAGACGGTCACATTAAAAGGGAAATAAACTAACTGAAAGATAGAGTTCTAAACACCAGGTCTCTGTTGGAGGGGTAGCACATCTGCAGAGAGAGGTTGAGATGAGTGTGTGTGGCCTGGGTATATACAAACATCTGTCCGGGGCCGAAGCCAATGTAGGTATCCACATCTTTAGGCAGGTTGGTCAGGAATGCGGGGAGAGATATTTCGCCATAATATGTTCATTCCTTAAGAGAGTACATATTTAAAATTCACATTTAATTCAAATACCTTGTATTGAAAATATTTCCAGCTGTTGTATACATTTTAAGCAACAGTAAGCGATACGAGCTGTAAGATAGCGACCTCCGCATCAAGTTTCATTTCTTCATTGCCCATGGTTTTCCTTCCTGCTCAAGCATACAGCCACAAGCAGCTCACGATACTTTGGCTAGCTCGTTGGACGTTCAGTCAGCCTCCACTCAGGATCGTTTTTCTTAACTCACAGACCGAAAAAGGAAAATAAAAAACGTGGACCTGGCCCAGAACACATAGGCTGCAAAAATGACGTCACCGTCTTTTCCCATCTCGTCTCCTGAGACGCACGTCAGGATGGCAGCATAGTTGCTTGGAGGTGGTTGTGAGATTCACAGTGTTTCGCTTGCAACACATTTACATGTATGTCATTTTTTTTTGCTTCATGTTTATGATGGATGGATCAAAAGCTTATAAATAAATAAGAACGTAAATAAATGAAGTCAAAGGGTCTAAAGGAGGGAAAGTGGCCACAGCGAAGAATAGTCAACCTTTGACTGTAGCAGCAGAGATGGAGCCCAGCCCTGACAGCAAGAAACTATGCCTTCCTGCTCTACTATTGTTTTACCTGTGAGCCTCTCCCACCCAGTTCCTTACAATAGCACTTGAAATTTACATCCGAGCTATCACAACCTGAGTCTCTACGTTCCCGTTACACGTTGTGAAGAATTGGCTTAAACTGCAAAATTGGAAATCTGGGGATTTGGGACATTCGTTAGCCATTCTTCTCATGAGGTTTCCTTTAACAGGGCCAAACCAAAGGTCAAGTTTGGAAGTAGAAGTCCTCTCAGAGGGAAGAAGGAGCATGGGAGCGGAGCAATGAGGGTGCATGTGTCTGTGCTGCCAGTTTTAGAAATCAGACATGACTTAATGCCAGGTATCGCTGGCAGTCCCATTTGCAAAAGGAGAGGCTCAAGACAGCCCTTGACCAGGGATCCCGCTGTCCACACCATGGCTCCTTCTCCCCATGTGGGTAAGGGGTGACTACAAGCTGTCCGTCTTGCTGTAGGTTCTTGGGTGTTTTATCATCGACCTTCAAGACACTGGTCTCCCAACAGTCTGCATCTAGAACGGGGGCAGGGTGGGAAAGGGGTCAGCACAGATGTGCAGAAGGAGAAAACTCAGGTCTCCTTCCCCGGATTGGTACCTAAGGAGACCATTTGTCTGCATTTTCCCTTCGCAAAGAGCCGGAGAACACACTGAACCTAGAGGATGGCTTTCAGTCCGTTGTTTCAGGGAATGTGTGACTTGGACAAATCTTCCATCCAAGGACTGCCCAGAGTTGAACGTTGGTGTAGTCCTTACCCACGTGGAGAATGGAGACATGAACTGCCACATGACATTGGATAGTTTTGGTTATTTAGCAAATTTTAAGCAAATTATTCATATTGCACCCTACTTACAATTATTCTATTACCATGTGCCTATATGTTTATACATAAACACACAAACACACTACGGATGTGTGTTTGTATATGTATAAATCAAGTGTTTATAACATATATTTTATATATATATATAAGTACACAGAACACTACAAACGGAGCTGATGTGAGCGTGTGTGCATGAGTTCGGGTAGAACCCTTGAGAGCACTGTTCGAAGCATTTTCTCGATGAGGCTGATGGTAACACTGTTTTAGTGTATGGGAGTCAGAAGATGCCAGGAGCAGAAGCACATGATAGAAAATCCCCTCTGCTTGGACTGTGTGTATTCCCTTCTGTGCTAACCTCCCTCCTGCTTCACAGACACGCTAGCACACCTCCTTTCCTGAATGCCTTGTGTGTGTGTGTGTGTGTGTGTGTGTGTGTGTGTGTGTGTGTATTAGCATGTCTAGGGGCAGACTTGGGTGAAGCTCGTGGTCTCTGAGCTTCTGAATCTCAGTTACCTCGTGAAAAATATGAACAATTTGCCAACACATGCAAAAAGTGCTCAGAAACCATCAAGGGTTTGAAAAAGGAATGGATGCCAGACGGGTTTCTGGATGGAGAATTTGGTTCGCTACCACCGTGCTTGTCCTGTTTGGAGAGGGATACGTTTTAGAGCAAGAATGTTTCTTTTCTAAAAATTAAAATGCCACAAGAAAGGGGTAGTAGATGAATAATGATGACTATTTTAAGATGTTATGTCCTCGGCTCATCCAACTACTTAAAAAGCCAGCAGATGTTCTGCAATGCTCTGACATCGGCACATGTTCTTGAGACAACAGAGGGACTAATAATAATAATTATTATTAATAATAATCAGTATAAATAACTATAAAATTTTGCGCTTGCATAGACACTTTCATTTTAAGACCTTCAGGGACTTGTCAAAGCAGTATAAGGAATCTCTCTCTCTCTCTCTCTGTCTTTCTCTCTTTTGCTTTTTTTCCTTCCAAGGAAAACACTGAACTGGAATGGAATGCTTCCCTCTTCTCACTGCAGACCTTTGATGTAAACCTGCAAGGCCTCCCTAACATTGGCCTCTTCCCGGGGCCATCTCCTCGGCTCTCTGCTGAGCAACTTGCAACTTTTTCTCCCGGCCCAACTGGTCTGACTTGCAGCGACAGACCTGCGCAAGTTCTCCGGTCATCGCTGATGGAGTCTAGAACAGTGTGGATACACCCATCTGCCCTAGCTTTGCCGCGCCCCAGTTCCACAGTGTTGTGACAGTACCGCGGGTCCTTTTTAGGATATATACCTGTCTGTATATATCACAGAGATATGGCTTTCGATATATTAGGATAGGTATTCTGGAGGGGTTTCTCATGGACAAAGAGGACAAACGACTCCCATCTCTCATGGGCCAGTGCCACAGAAAGGACCCTAGACAGCATTTGCTTTATGCGACCCCTCCATTGAGCAGGTCCCACTGGATCTCCTCCTGTTCTCTGTTCATTTACACTGAGGTTTTTATTTTATTTTATTATTTTTATTTATTTACTTTGAGAACCTGCTTTCAAAGTCTATACTAGAAAACACAGTGCTCCAGAAATTAGTGGGCACAAAGGGAACCTACCCAGAGCTCTGGGTCCTTCAGAAATAAACCCCAAAGAATTCAATCACCCGCTTCCAATCTGGCTCGTGTAAAAAAGATGTCAGGTTTATCAAACTTCCCCTCACAGAGGGGGACAGAGAAACGGAAATGCTGTTCTTCCTCGGTCTAACTGACTGTCCTAATAACTGTAAATTTCTATTTAAATTTACACTTTCTTTTAGTAAAACCCATGATCATACACAGAAGGGTATTTCCCTTCTCAGTCTGGGCACAGCCTCCCATTAGCCATACTGCGCTGATTTTTCAGGATTTTTCCTTTCTTTCTTCTTCTCCTTCTTATTCTTCTTTCTTTTTTGTTTTAACTTTTTAATGGAGTATAGATAACAAAACAGCACACTGACAATGAGTACGTAGGAGTGAACCACTCTCCCAAACAGAGCCCAGAGCAAGAGATTTGACCCGGACACTCTAAATGTGAACTCGGTGCTTCTCCTCAGGGATGAATTCTGCCTGCCCCGTTCCACACTGCTGTGGGTTTGAGGCGGATGAAGACACCCACGCATCAGCAGTCCTACTGGGCAAGCCCATCACCTCCAACCACAGCATGTTTCAGCTGCTGCTCTGGTCCCACCCCTAAGCTGCATACGTCAGACCTTTTATGGCTCTGCCCTACCCATGGGACACCACGACCAGAGCGGTACTTTCTGTACACAGGTGTCGATTGACAAAGACTATGCACATTTTTTTTTTTTGCACAGTTAAAAGACAGGTGAGAGTGGAGGGTTGGGGCTGGAGGGAATTGTCTGAAAAGTTCAAGGTAAGAGAAACGGCCTCGGAATTGAGAGTGCTTCCTGTCATTTTCAGGACTCAGATTTTCCTGTCTGACCCAGAAATAATATCTGAGCAAGAATCTCCCTCTTTCCAACTGTACTCAACAAAAGTTTGGTAGGTAACCCTTGAGGAACACATCAACTCTGTCACCATGCCCGACCACAATGCGCTGTCTGAATGCACGATATGGTGTCTGGGTCCCACGGAGGCCATCTTTACTTTCCATTGCAGGCCAGTATCCGTGACTGGAAACTCTGTCCACGATGCAGAGTTCAACACCCTCGTTCCTCCTCAGGAAGGTCCTCAGGGGACGGTGCCGAACATGCTCCTCCCAGCTCACTGGCTGCTGGGTTTTCCTCAGCAGGGGCTGACCCCAGATGATCCCATTGTTTGTCTCGGTTCTGGTCATGCTGTAGTTATATAGCCACGCTTCTCTCTCTCTCTCTCTCTCTGGATCTCATCTCCCACAGATAACATCTTCCTAGATTGTATACAACTTTCCCTATACACACACAGGCTAAAGCCATCAGAAAACAAGAAGATAATAAATAAATAAATAAATAAATAAATAAATAAATAAATAAATAGGAGTGAGTCCATAGAAATGCCCGTGTCTGTACATGGGAAGTGGCGCTTTAAGTCAGATGTTTGGTTTCCCTTTTATCATCCACATCGAAGGCAGGAGAACAACAAGGCATTGCCAGTTGTGGTGGGCAAACTGGAGTGTCAGCTGATATAACAAATTAGGGTTTTGTTTAAGGCCTTTGTCTATGTACAGTCAATAGGAATACAGAAGCCAGATTGGTCAAGGAGAGAGGCTGAGGATCACGAAGCAGGGAAGACCCAAAGTAAAAGGTGAAAGGGTGAAAGAAAGAAAGAAAGAAAGAAAGAAAGAAAGAAAGAAAGAAAGAAATCAAAGGAGATGGGGGAGAGAGGAAGAGACAATGCTGAAAGCGAGTTAACACTGTCTGTGGATGGAGAAGTGCACGCTGCTTCCCTCCAAAAGCCGCTCCCTGTCTTGTTAATACTGTCAGAACAACGAAGGACAGCAAGGTCATGACACCCAGCGGCAGGTAAGAGGTTCGTTGTGTCGGCCAGTCTGAGGAGTGCGTCGGGAAGGGCGGATCTGGGGAGAAGGGCCTAGCCTAGGATATCCAGGTAGACAGGAGATGCCTTGGCCAAGTTCTGGAGGAGCGTGTGGATGCCCTTGATGCTCTTCCTCATGTGTGGCTCCCGCTGCCAGCATCCCAGCATCAGCTCATACACCTCCTGCGGGCACGTGCGAGGCCGCTGCAGGACTCGGCCCTGGGTGATGCATTCTATGACCTGCGGGGAGAGCAGAAGCAGGGTTAGCAGAGGAGCCATGGGTGTGGGATGTCAGTGCAGGAAGAGCAAAGAATGGCCTCTCCTTTCTTTAACTTTTTAAGAAGTCAAGTCAAACCACTATGTTTATTTCTGGAGGCCAGCATGCTAATTTGAGGCAGACATTTATACACATACAAGATGTACTGACTACATCAGGACAATCAGTAGGTGCATCTCCTGAACCATTCACCATGCCTTTGTGCCAGCAACCTTCTACCTCCTCCCTTCTAACTTTTCAGAGTCCCGTCTTCAGTATACGGGGCTGCGAGTCCTTCCACTGTGCCGCTGTACCAGCCCCTAGGGAGGGGCTGCTAATTGGTTACCAGCTGACCCTTGCTCTTTTAAAATGTTTCTTTTGTAGTTCTTCATTGAAGATATAATAAACGTACCACCTACAGTTACAGTCCAGTGCTGCAGGGTTCTAGAATCATCTAGGCACCTCCTGGGTGCCTGTGTGCTGGGGCTGGCCTGCAGCTTCCCTCTCCACTCTTTCAGCAAACCTTCCCTTGTGGATTTCCAATGAGAGAGACAGGTTTTTGCTTTAGGTATGGTCTTGCTCTGTAGCCCAGGCTGACCTTGAACTCGTGGTCCTTTCTCTCAGCCCCACAGGAAACCCTTTTACTGCTTTCTCACAAGGAAGAGAGCCACTGTGGTTTTACAACGCTGGCAAAGGCCTGATCTAGTCACAAAGGCTGGTCTGCAGAAAGCCCTGAGTGCTCCAGGTTTTACCGGCTGGAGAGAGAACTCAGATTGCTTTTGCCTAAGGTGTTGACTGACAGGGAACCCCTGGCAGCAGATGTGATTAGGATCATTGCATATCAGAGCTGAATTATAGGACAGGTGTGGATCTGAGAGGGACAGGAGATGGCTGAGCGAGATGCTGTGCTTCAAACACAGACACGCTGCTGGCTGCTGTCCCGTGGGCTCCAGCTGTGCACCCAGACAACAGCAGATTGAAAATACACAGGGAAAAAAAAACATCTGTACTGAGCATGTGCAAGGATTTTTTTTTTCTTGATGTTATTCTCTGAACATATAGCTATTAGCACTGTCTGCGTGTACGATTACTGTAAATGAGCTGGGAATGACCCCGGAGGAGCCCTGGCCTCTTGCGAATGCTACATCATCCTGCAGAAGGACTTGGAGTGTTCTAAATTTTGGTTTGGGGTGGGGAGGCGGGGGGGGGGGGGCGAAGGTCTTGGAACCAACCCCCATGGATTCTAACAGGTAACTATAGTTTGCAAAGGAGTTGGAAAAAGCCAGCCAGTGCTTGAGCTTTTCTCTAGGAGTTAATGTTCTAGTAAAATCTGAAGAAGGAAAGATTCTTAGAACTTCTCTGGAACAGTGCAGGAATGCTCCCCAGACCCAGGAGCACGGATCGCGGAGGCTTCTCTTAGTCTGTTAGATGAACAGGTGTGAAATTACTCCTCCACCCTGCCATGAGAGGGAGCAAGATTGGGTTGGCAAATCTCTCTTTCTCCAAAATTATTAAAACGAGTTTGCGAAGAGTTGCTGCCTCAGGCAAAGCCATGCATGGCTGTGAGCTGGTTTCCAGCTGAGGAGCCCCCAGACCAAGGCTGCATCTTAGATTTCCACTCTGGTGGTGGTGGCAGTGGTGTGTGTGTGTGTGTGTGTGTGTGTGTGTGTGTGTGTGTGTGCATGTGTGTGTTCAGAGGTCCCTCCCAAACCACTACACACCTCGTTGTTTGATAGCTGATACCAGGGCTGCTTGCCGTAGGTGAAGATCTCCCACAACACGACTCCCAGGCTCCAGACGTCGCTCTCGGTGGTAAATTTTCTGTACATGATGCTCTCTGGAGGCATCCAGCGGATAGGTAGCATCGTGTGGCCACCGACCTGGCAGGAGAAGCATGAACAAGGAGCGTCAGCCATCTGGAGCCAGTGTGGCAGGTCACTGTGGGGGAGATGGCTCTTACAAGGGATATGTACTTTCTCCATCATCTCCGGTAACAGAGTCGGGGCAGAGACGAGTCAAAACAAAGTTCCAAATATAACTTGCTCTTTTCCTTTCCTCAAAGTCAGAGGCGAGTAGAGACTGTTAAGCGGATGTCCATCTAGGATTTACTAAAGCCTTCATGAACTTCCTGTTGGAGGAACTAACCAGTCTATTAATAAATATGATAATTTTGAACCAAGATAACAAGCAAAGGGCCCTGCATCCTACCTTAGTGGTACCCAAGATGGATACCAAGATGGAATTTATTATTCCCATTTTAGTGACATGCAACCATACATGTACATGGTACAAGAACCATATATAAAAGACTCAAAGCTTTGGATTCTCCTCTCCAATAGGGTGATGCTATGTAGCTTATTAACGGCAATAAATAAATTTGTTTTAAGAGGAAAATATCCCTTTGACTGAAAACACAAGCTGTGGCAGCGCCTGGGTACAGCATCAGTGCGCCCACAGAAACTTGATTGACGCAGGAGGGCTGTGCACGGTTCTCCACGTCGTGGTTTGCCACTCATAGGCTGCCTGACCCCTGTGCAGAAGTCATGTGGCCTGTGGGTCTCATTCCTCATCCTCCAGGACACACTGATACTCAGTGGCCTGAATTAGACCCGAGAGACACTGACAGCCTTATGGTTTAACATGAACACCTCACGCAGTCACTGCCCAGGTTTCATTCTCAATATCAATCTGTGACTTTTTGTACAAAGGAAATGTACCTGTCCATGTGTCTGGAAGTGGTGGTGACATTTCCTCCTAGGGCCACAACCAGTGTGGTCACAGACCCTGACCAACCAAGAGGAAGTACACTGTGGGCACGGTACAGTCAGACTGTGAGTACCGGTCCGGTTGACCCTTCAGCTCCATGCTCAGAACACTGACAAAGAGAAGCTGTACACGGAGGGGAGGGCCCAACATTTCCAGATTCTCAGAAGGACCATGGCCAAGAGTAGATGATGCCCCAGGACCTAGCAGCTTTTACCACTGCAAAATAAGGACTGCTCTGTGAACAGGCGGAGACTGATCCTGGCGCTTTCCAAGCTGGGCACACTTCCCCTCTGACTGTATTCCAGAAAGGTCTGAGAACCTGGGCACATGTGTTTTCCAAGACAATTCCCCACTACGTGGTGCTCCTGTCTCCTTGCTGTTCCCTGAGACCACACTGGGGAAGATTTTCCCGGTTTACAAACATCTGACCACTCCTCCATCCAATTTCATGAACATACGAAGTGCTCCACTGAGCGGTAGATGGTGAGGTTGCATCTCCGGTTAGGACACCTTGACATATGGGACAGACAAGTCTAAGGTGTAGCTGTCCCCACTGGCTCTTTCCACCCACACAGCACACATTTACTGGGGGCCTACTAACTATAGCACAGCTGTGCTTGAGGGTGACACATGACAAGGGTGGGACAAAATCAAAGACCTTACTCTTTTATCCCCCTAAAAAGCACCCCTACCCTGTTAGTTTACTGTGGCAGGTGGCAAAGTGCTGCTGGCTCCATTGTGTGTCCGGCTGCCCTTGTCACTTCTCCTTACAAAACACAGATCTTCAGGGGTTAAAGTGAGACTTACAGAATGACATGTCACAATGAGGACTGGGGCTTTGTCCCCTGGCTGTGCCAAGTGCTAATGCATGTGAAGGGGGGTGGGGGTGGTTCTGAACAAGAAGGTCAAGTGACTGCTAATATTTCTGGGAAGGTTTAGGGTTTAAGACAGGTACATGACTTTGGGATGGAACTGGCTCCTCCCTCTGCATGTCTTTCTTTGGGGGCCAATGATGAATGTACCAGCCTGAGTTTCTCAGAAACCGTGGAAGGCAAAAGACTCAAAGGGGTGCGTAACTGGGTGGTAGAGGAAGACCCAGCAGAACATGGAGCAGAGTGGGGATTTTAGTGGGAAGACACAATCATTTGTTTTGTGGAAATACTGAAGTTACAATCCAGTTTGTGATCAACACAAGTTGAAGTGTGAACCAAAGAGTCAGGTTCTCATACCGGCCCCTAAGAAGAAGAACTTCCTTAGAATAGCTGGGTCATACATCACCTGCTTGGTCCTTCTTGGAGAAGTTCAACAAATGAAACAGATTGAACTTTTCTAGTTACTAAAGCCTATGGATATATATTCGTGGGAGTAAAGCCTTCTAGAGCCATATGTCTGCAAACTTTGGGGTGTACTGATATCTTGAGACTCCAAGGTTTCCGTTCTGTCTCAGTACCACAGCAACAGGCTGTCTTCCCCACCAATAGAAACTTTGGATGTACAAGTGGTGGAATGATCTACTCCGAGTTCAGGCAGGGTCCACATGTCTTCTCAGCTCCTTTAGAGCAATCCTGCACAGCCCTCTGGGGCTCTTGCCTCAAGATTTTGCAGCATGTCACAAGAGTAGACCCACTAAAGAAACAGTCACAGTGGTAGCAAATTACTGTCATATTTTTGTTGTAGGCACTCAGTGGCTTTCAGGCCAAACAGGACTACAATCTACTCAGAGAAGAACACAAGGAGACATTTGTTCTGAGCTGTACTGCTTGGCTCGCATCCTTGCTTAAATATTTGTGAGACTGAATGTGATCCCTGAGTATGGTACCGGGAATCTGAATTTCTGCCTTCGGTCGCCCACTGGCCCCTGGTGCTGGGTATGATCCAAGAGTCAGGTTGGGGCAGACTGATTGGTCTTCATTGTGACAAGTGGCGGAACAGACTGGAAGACAGAAATCCAGTGAGCGGGGAAGCTGACTGGAAACTGTGGTTTAGAAACTGTTTCTTGTTCCTGATATGTTGTTAACCACCACCCAGCCTGGCTCCTATTGTTGTGACTGGGTGGATGTAGAGGATTAGGCTAGCCCTTGGCTACTCCCAGAGCAACATGCTATGGTTCTGTAACTCGGCACCACCACTTTTCACTGCTAACCATCCATCATCAGAGAGTGTACCTCATCTTCTACAGAGACATTCAATTCAATTATCCCAATATACCTGGCAGGCACTGTCTGGAGAAGACACTGGCCGGCTAGCCCAGAGCCATACACAAACCCCTTCCACTTCCTGACGGGTTTTCTCGCTGGTCTATAATATGTTCCATGTAAAAACAGAAAGCCAAATCACGCATCCTCACCAGAGAAAGCTGATTCATGCCTCTTGTGAGATATGATCTCCCTGTAACCAGGCCTGAGATAAAGGAAAGAGACTCAGGAAGTCAGCAAAACCATGATCAGTCAAAGGACCTTGCTGACTCTGAGGATGGTTAACTGCAACTTGGCTGAACCAACAAAGCTAATAAGAACAATGTCTGAGGGCCAAAGACTCCATAAAATAAAGTAAGCTGAGAAAAATGTATTCCATTCTAAAAACACACCAAGGAAAGCATGGCACCTCATGATTTTGATAGTGATTCACATAGAATAATCCGATAAAAATTAAAATTACAGCTATGTTTTGGAGTTGACTATCCCCCAACTTTATCAGCTTGAAACGTATTTTAAAAAAAGAAACTCTGGAGAAAATCCTGAAAGTAAATCTCCTTTGAGTTATAAATCAGTGAATTTTTAAACAACAGTGGAAACTCAATCATTACAACTCTGCATTTATATTATAAAGATATGTTTGTTGTTACTGCCTGTGCGCCATTTGCGTGCAGTGCCTGTGGAAGCCAGAAGAGGGCATCAGATCCCAGAGACAATTTACAATTGGTTGTGAGCTGCCGTGCCGGCGCTGGGAACACACCTGAGTCTGCAAGGAATACTCTTGGCAGCTGAGCCACCGCTCCAGTCCCATAATCCATGTCTTAACTAAGCAATTCACAGTATATAGTCTGTCATCCTAGGACAGCAAACAGTGAAAAGTTCTGTATGACTTGGCAATTCTTTCCTTCTCTTTTGGAAACTAGGGTTTGGTAAAATGAAAGAAGTTTACGTATAAACTGGTGATGGACGGCACTGAGGACAGCTTCACGTGTTCCCTTCACACAGACAGCCTAGGCTCCTTCTGTTATGGTCTGCTATACACACACATAGAGCATCTTTATTTGTGGTAGCAGTGAGTGAGGGATACAGAATCCATTTCCCAGAGACATTGGGTGATGGAAATGATGCCATTAGCCATTCCCTCCTGTTGGCTTCTCACAAAGTTCAGTCCACCCCCGCCTCTGTTCCCAGGAATACCCTAGCAGTCAGTCCAGGACTAATCCTGGTGTCCATGATCTCCCCTAACACCTCTCTGGTGTGAAGCCAGTTCCACCAGCAATACTATACTTGGTCTCCCTGTACTCACCTCTTGTTTCCTTACACAGCCATTCTCACCCCTGCAATTCGGTTCCCTGATAGACTCCATTCTGTGTTTAGTGGAGTCTCAGAGGAAGGTTAGGAACAGACCAACACCAGTATCTAGCTCACTCGGGAAAGCACAGGTGTTTGAAGACAAGCTATGTTGACCTGGGCCCTCCTAAGCTTGACCAGCAAAGACCAATGGTGCCTGGGGGGCCACTTTCAGCTTGTGGTATTTACTCAGCAAGTGAGCGATAACTTGTTTGGAAGCCAGAAATCTGACTCCCTAGGAAACAAACTGGCCAGAAGGCAAGCCCCATTAAGAGATGATTAGCTGCTAGAGGCTTTTGGTTGCATTAAATATTGAAGGGGCTCCTGAACCTCCGTATCACACCCGTGCATGATGGCTTGGCTTCAGCAACCTCCCCCATCTGTTCCTTAAAAATTCATGAAAGCTGTAAACTTTCAGCAACAGCCAGGTCTCCTCTGCTCACAATGGATGGCATTATAGCAGAAGGTTAAACACAGCAATGCAATGACAAGGTCTTCCCCCTGAAGAGCAGCCTGGGAGGAATCCTTGTGGTTGTACTGTGGGCTGTGACCACATCCAGGAGGGTGAG